GATACAGAGAACAAACTAATGGTTACCAGTGGGAAGAGGGAGGGAGGAGGGGCAGTATAGCGGTAGGGGACTAAGAGATACAAACTATTAGGTATAAAATAAGCTACAAGAACATATTGTACAACATAGAGAATATAGCCAATATTTTATAATAACTAAAAATGGATTACAGCCTTTAAGAAAAAGAGTCAAGCATTTTGCAAAGCACTTTGTGCCTAATATCAGATTCTAATAGTTAAACGGATGCTCAAACTTTCTGACTCTCAATTTTCTTTTAATTAAGAGTTGCAGACAAAAAGTAGAAAGCAATTCATTCTAATCCACATTTTATTATCTACAATGCAGTTTTCTACTTTATACCCTAAAACCATAAGGCGTTGAGTATTATCTATAAAAATATTGAATTACCATGTTGTATACCTGAAACTAATATAATATTGTTAAGTCAGCTATACTTTAGAAAAAAAAGATGTTGAGTGTTAAATATAATCAGCTTAACCCAAGGCAAGATATGAAATTCTTATTTTTTAAGAAAGGAGCAATATGTTAAGTAAAAATAATGCTGATAATTTATAGATGGGCATGAAATGGAAAAAATGGAATTATCAGTTCAGAAGAATCAAATACTTTCTCACACACAAACATATATCCAAATTTTATAGAGGGAGAAAAAAACCCTCAACATTATAAACCAAAACAAACAGAAAAAAATTTTATGTCAATTTGGAAGCATCGCCTATGGTTCTGTATAGGCTTCCCAATGATAACTGACTGAAGAAAGCAACAATAAGAATCTACAACTATGCTAGGGAAACATCACTACTGAGTGTATTCTCACAAATTGTTAAAATATCACCTGGTCCTAGCTTACGCTTGGGATCTGGGCAAGGAATAGGACAAGGGAGGAAAGGTCTATGTTACCTAAAGGCACCGGGACAGCCATCTGTGACATCGCTATCCAAGTCAACCTTTCCTCGGAGGATTAACAAGTACCGCTTATTGATAGGAATTATCATGGGATGCTCTACAATTTAATAAAAACTGTTTAATCTGAAAAGATTATCTGCTCTCTGTGCCAAAAGTATACACGGAAATTAAATCCTACTTGAAACATTTCTTGGCCTGTAACCTACATGCAAACTTCCCAAGACTTTGTCTTATGACAAAGTTCAGGCTCAATCCAATCAGTTATAACCTCCTCCCCAAACCAGGGCACATGGTGGCAAATGAAAATGAGTATTCCAAGGATGGTCTGAAAAATCAAAGTGTCACAATGGTACACCAGAGTTTTCTGTTTGAAAATGATAAATCATCCTATAATGTGAACTAATTACCTCATAGTTTATTTGCTAAGGTTGAGATTTCAAGCACTGGCTATTCTTAAATAGGGGCAATGACATACACCTATTACTGGACATTCATTTAGTCCTATTTAACAATCATTAAAACAGCTACCATTTCTTGAGACTCCATTATATTCCAGGGCTTTGGTAGATGGTTTTACATACGTTATCTAGTTTAATCCTCTGAATGACCCTTATGAGGAAGGCTCTAGCCACTCCATTTTACGCAGAGGAGAAAACCCAGATGTAGCCCACTGTACCCAGAAGCTTAACCTGGGGCTACTTCAGGCAGACACCTTCCTTAGTAACTGATCTCTCTTGGGAAGGGGGTTTTACCTTAGACCAACAATTCCCCAACTGTGCGCCAAGGCGCTCAGGAGCTGTAGAAAATGCACAGGGGAAACGTAGGATTTTTGAACATTTCAAGGGAAACACAGTGTACTCAATGTGCTGGACACTGAACTTACAGACTGGAGGAGTCCACAGCTTCAACATCAGATCCCATTACATTCCTATCAATGACATCATATCTCTGCAAAGCTTGGGTTTTCAGTGGTTGCTGTGATAAAAAGCAAGTGCTGCAGAAAAATTAACGTGGGACAGGAAATGAGATTGGGATCCAATCTGATCCCAAAGTTTGTGTGTGCAGCACACACACACACACACACACACACACACACACACACACCCTCTTTGTAGCTGTGGTTATTTAAGAATGATATAAATTTTTTCTCTGTTTATGTGCATTCTTTTTTTTAAAAAAAAGCTTTTGTATGTTGTTAGGATATAAATACTTATTACGTTATTTCAACCTAACTACTACTAACTACCTAAATCTAGGGACACTGAAAAAATTACTTAGATACTAAGGGGGCCATGAACCAAGTTTAGGAATCTTTGCCTTAACCAAGAAATGTCAGAATGTGTAAGATTCACAGAGGAGACCTGTGATTCAGCCCAAAGGAATAACTTAAGGTCCCTAACACAAATATCATAACCAGAAAAAGAAGAATTTAGGTTAAAACCGTTTTTAAAGGTCACTCTCAGCAGGCTTAATCCTTCAAATCCCATACAATGTCCCCTGGAAAACTGGTATTTTTTTTAAACACTTCTAAAACACATGCACACTAATTACTGTTTTTCCACTTCTTAGAGACTCAAGCAAAGCTTTCAAAATTATAGCCTCCAAGCTATGTTGAAAGAGACTGGCCCTCCCCGACACAGACAGAACACACCCGCAGAACCTGTGCCAAAGGAAACTGGGGGCAGACCCTGACAGCCAGCCTGCCCGTCCCAGCACTTTGATACTTTCAGCTTTCTGTGGTTTGCATCTTACTCTCAATATCCTGCTTTTACGTTCTACAGGAATGCTCCAGGTTATTGTGGAAAGGCTTGTTTGGAAACTTCCCTTCCACAGAGTTTTTCATGTAAGATATTAAGGTGAAAAGCAAGGGGAAAATAAACACAAAATCCAGACTATCAGTTCCTTGGGGAGAGAGAGAGAAGTAAGTGGAATGCCACAGGGAGGAGTGCTCGGGCCTGCAAGGTTCTGAGGATGCCCTGGTTCTTCAGCTGGGTGATGGGTACCCGGGTGTGCCTTGTGTTCTTCTTCTTTAATTTGTACCTCTCCGTTTGATACTTTCTGAATGTATGATATAGGCCACAGTGGCAGCACCAGAATTTCAACATGCGAGGGCCTTGGGAGTTGAAAGAGTACTTCGTCTCTAAGCAGAGTTGGATCACAAGCCGTCTGCTTTCACTTGGATTATATGCTTATCTGGAGGGGCTCTGGAGAGGCTGATGAGTTTGAGTGGGAAGCTAAGATTAATTTTTGGTGCCACCACCGAACAAGGAGTCAACAAATTAGCATTTTGTTATCACCCTTGGTTTATGCCTCCCAACAACATGCAACCAGTTGTTTTCTGGGCTCTTACTCCTTTACACCCCTCTTCCACTCTCCCCATCTCATTTAGGACCTAGAGAGCAGAAAACTCTTCCAATTTTAATTTATATCCCTAATCAAAAAAAAATTCTTCATTTACCAGATACTAAGCACCTGCTAGGGATGAGGAAAGCTACATATGTATAGTCCAGCACCTACTACAGCAGAACAACAGGCTGCTATTGCCATTTTAAGGATGGGAAACTACGTCAGAGACCATCAGTACACTGTGGGACCACCGTGGACCCAGGGGTGTTTGTGTCACTGCCCAAGTGCTTCCCACTTCCATTGGCCTAACAGACATTAGCTCAATGTGAATGAATATCACCATCCAACAGACTCACAAAAAGGATGCCCAACCTTCAAGAGCGCTCTGCCAAGCTTTTCACTTGCATCATTTCACTTAATTTCTACAACCGTACCCCCAGGCTATGTGTCATACACCTAGTTTACAATTCTAAAAACTGAGGTTTAAAGAAGTGGGTCTTCCTATGTCACACACCTAACAAGTGGCATCAAGACTCAATCTCATGACCCCAAAGGGGATCTCTCAACCACCACTTAAACCATCTCACCATGCTTTAGGGAAAACATTCTTTTTTTTTTTTCTTTTTGGTCTGTGTTGTGTCTTCGTTGCTGCACGCAGGCTTTCTCTAGTTGCAGCGAGCAGGGGCTGCTCTTCTTTCCAGCGTGCAGACTTCTCACCGCGGTGGCTTCTCTTGTTGCGGAGCACGCAGGCTTCGGTAGTTGTGGCTCACGGGCTCTAGAGCGCAGGCTCAGTAGTTGTGGCACACGGGCTTAGTTGCTCTGCGACATCTGGGATCTTCCTGGAGCAGGGCTCGAACCCGTGTCCCCTGCATTGGCAGGTGGATTCTTAACTACTGCGCCGCCAGGTAAGCCCCGGGAAAACATTCTTGACCCGCTCTAGGAAACGGACGCTCCTCTAGGGTCACAAATAAGACTCCACTTCCCCTCCCGCCCCTCAAATCTACCGGAAGCACCACACTGAAATTTCCAAGACAAGTGTCCGGGAGCTGATGTCTGAACTCAAACCAAACAATGTGCTCGCTCCCTTGAGCCCGGGGAGATGCCACTTGCTAACTCTTTACAGAGCTTAAGTCCAACCAGAGCGGACCTCCCCGGGGTAGGGCAGCCCCACGGTCCGGCGCCTGCAGCCCTTTGTGACCCTCGAAGGGGTGAGGGAAGGGGTCAGGCTGCTGTCGCGTCCGAGCCGAGCCCGGTCACTCGGAGGCCGGCCCGCAGGCCCAGGGACGGCGGGGGACGCTGGCCACCAGATGGGACCCTCCCTTACGCCCGAAGACGGCCGGCCTCCGCGCCCGGTCTGGGACCCCCGCCCCGCCCCCCACTTTCTACAAACTCTTTGAGCTCACTGGAGAAAGAGGAGGGGGACGAGCAAAGACGAGAAAGTTCTCTGCCTCCTCCCACCAAAGTTCTATATTCTAGGGAAGCAACTGAAGGAAAGAGACAAGGGAGATGCCCCAGGAAGGACCCCCCCTCCCACGCCGGCTTCCCCAGAGGCCGCAGAAAAGGGGGCAACGCGCTCTGTCTGGGACTCCTCCCCAAACAGACAGCGACCTGGGGGCGCTCCCACCCGCGACACGGTCCTCCCGGGATGAGAGACCCCCCCAGAGTAGGGGACGCCTGTCCTGGGATGAAGAGGGGTCTCGAAGGGACCCGGCGAGGGTACACGGTACCTTTCTCTCCGCGCCGCTGGGACCGACGCCGGCGACAGCGTGGGGGGCGAGAGGAGACGATGGGCACGGGCTCCCGCTGGCTCCGGCGGGCCCTGGGCCTCGGCGCCGCCCAGCGCCGCCGCCTCCTGCCGCCGCTCGCCGGTCTGCGCTCCCCGCTCCCGCAGGTTACCTGTGCCCGAGCCGCCGCGCCCGCCGCCCGCTCGGCGCCCCGCCCCGCCGCGCCGCGCCCCGCCCCGCCCCGCCCCACCGCGCCCGCGCTCCTAGGCTGGGGCCGCAGCGCCCCGCAGCGGCCGGTCAGGGCACGGCAGCGGCCCGAGGAGACGTGGGGACCCCAGGGCCCTCGGGCTGGCCTTGGCCTGCAGCCAGCTCCCTGCTGGGCCGCTGCCGCTTCCGCGCCCTCCTGAGAGCCATCCTTATAAAGAGGGAGAGGAGCGGCGGATGCAGTTGGGTGAGGTTTTCCTGGCAGGGGTTGCCAGGAGGTTTGTAGGAGGGAAAGGGGATTCGCGTGGAGAAACCATCCCTCAACCTGTGGCCAAGTGTGTATTTCAATATGTTCGTAGTTCACTTAACCGGGATGTCTCAGAAGCTGAACAACAATGATGAATGATCCAGGCTCATTAGAAAGCTGGAGAAAAGAAAGGAAGCCTTTATTCCAAAAAGCTTGTCTGCTAATAGCTTGTCGGAAGCATCCCATACGAAATGGGCAAAAGCATTGAACGTTCCTGCCTCCTATATTCAAATCACACTTTACATACCATTAACTCGGTCTGGTTTTGTCTGTTTTTCACAGTCACTACTTCAGTATCTAGAAGAGTTCCCTGAACATAGCGAACACTCAGTAAGTTATTGTTGAATGAATGTATGAATGAGTAGGACCTCATTCAACCTTTTGAAGAAGCGCGACAGGTATCTGCTCTCTGAACACAGAGAGCTGGAGAGGGAGGTGGGGAAACCTAGAATGGAGTTTCGGTCTTCCCTGAGCTTATTTTGAACCGGATTTTTCTTATCCCCTCTGAAATAGGCCTGGTTTCCAGGGAAAAAGAAACATGATGATCTCCTACTTTTTCTTAAGATATTTGTCTCCCTCTCTCCTTCAGGGAACATTAAGCAGGAGAAATCCAAACAGCCCTATGCATACCAGGAAAGGGTAAGTGCTTGATTTTCCTCCACTACTTCTGAACTTCCCCCAACCCCAAAGGCATAGCTAGGGTTTTACGTGGCAGAGTGTGAAACCTCTCTTCTGAGTATCCTTTGGCTTTCTTCAGATTTGCCCCCATCCCTGTCGCTCCCCATCTAAAGCTGTTAGAACACATTTTCTTTCCGTGCTCATCAGCTCTGGGTTTCTCTCCAGGCAGGTCACTGCTGAGTTCTAGGTGAACCCCCAAGGTCAAGGTAAGCACCCATTACCTTTCAACCTGATCATTTCCTTCTTATACTTTTCCAGATTAAAGACTTCTCCTAGCTATAGTCCCTTGAATAAACAACCAAAGCTAGAGTGCTGCATTCCTCCGGGAAGCTTTTATGACATCACCACAAGGTCGAGATGAGATGAAGTCTGAAGTTACATTCATGGGCAGTCAGAGCAATTGCACATTAATCCTGCTGAAAGGAACAGAAGCCAGACTGTATGACATGTGAATGCTCCTGGGAACTGACTGGTCTGCAGTTGTTCCCGGACCTTAGTTAATGGCAATTCCTGGCAGAGGGGCCTCATGAGAGCCAAAGCAGTCAGTGGGTGAGCTGCTTGGAGATCACGCTTGCTTGTCTCCAAGTGGGCACACAGTGTTTGGACATCTAATGAAAGGAGAATCCTAAAGCTCCCTGTATATGAGGGAGGCTTCCAGCCTGCAGTTCCGTTCTGCCTCTCTGTCCAGCTCCATCACAGCCAGCCTCATACATCCACCCCACTACTTTCTCCTTCTGCCTCATGAGAAAAAAGTTCTACTCTACCAATGACAGCTTTCACTGTTCTATGAGAATATAATCTGCTCCTATTTCCAGCAACATTTCTTTAACGAGTTGACTGCACTAGCTGTCTTTTGCGACATTAGCTGCAGTTGGTCCTTCAGCCCACCATTCTGACTTCCATCCCTTGCTAAGTCTTCCACTCATGAAACCTTACATGTGCCCCTCCGTGATCATACCCTCCTTGTCCTCCAGAGGAAACCACAGTCCGTAATTTTATGTTAATAATTCTCCTATCGAGGGCTTCCCTGGTGGTGCAGTGGTGAAGAATCCGCCTGCCAGTGCAGGAGACACGGGTTCGAGCCCTGGTCCGAGAAGATCCCACATGCTGTGGAGCAACTAAGCCCGTGCACCACAACTACTGAGCCTGCACTCTAGAGCCCACGAGCCACAACTACTGAAGTCCGCATGCCTAGAGGCCGTGCTCCGCAACAAGAGAAGCCACCACAATGAGAAGCCCGTGCACCATAAGGAAGAGTAGCCCCTGCTCGCCACAACCAGAGAAAAAGCCCGCACGCAGCAATGAAGACCCAACGCAGCCAAAAATAAAATAAATAAATAAAATAAAATAATTAAAAAAATAATAATTCTCATCACAAACATATGTAGCCCTAAATACTGTATTGTTCAGTTTTGCCTGGTTTTGAACTTTTCTGTAAGTGGAATCATTCTGCATGATTCCTATGCAACTTGCTTTTTTCACTTAGCATTCTGTTTCTGAGATTCGACTATTCAGTTCCTCTGTCTTTTTTTTTTTTTGCGGTATGCGGGCCTCTCACTGTTGTGGCCTCTCCCGTTGCGGAGCATAGGCTTCTGACACACAGGCTCAGCGGCCATGGCTCATGGGCCCAGCCGCTCCGCGGCATGTGGGATCTTCCCGGACCGGGGCACGAACCCGTGTCCCCTGCATCGGCAGGCAGACTCTCAACCACTGCACCACCAGGGAAACCCTGTCTTTTTTCCTATCTTATTATGCAATCAAAGACTTACAGTACACTGTGGAATAGGAGTGATGGTAGTGGGCCACCTTCTCAGTTCCTGATCTTGAGCTACTGATTATCTGATCTGTCTCCCTCACTCACTTTCAGTTATAAAGATAAAGGGGCCATGTTTATCAGTTCAAATGTGTTTGGCTGCTGGAAAGAGTGTGCTTGACTAGAGTGGTTTAAACACATAAAAAACTATATAATAAAAATATCTGGGTCTAGGCTCTATTATTCTACCGTACCACCTCAGTACTGGCTTTTGTCTTTGGCTTGACATCTAGGCAGGAGAAAGGGGCAGGCCTTCTCACTGTGTTTATTTTAATTTGAGAACAAATTCTTCACAGCTGCCCCTTAAATCTATTTTTCCTTTCATGTCATTGATCACAACTGGGTCACAAAGGTGAGGGGCTGGTTATCATACCCGGTGTAAACCAATCATGATTCAACCCCACTGAGCCTGGGCTTCCTTCCTCGAGTATGTTGATACTCAAGAACAGTTAAGGATATCAAACTAAGGACGAAGTGGTGGGGGGATTATGACACCAGCAATCTCTGCCTGACTTTGTTTGACTTTGTATTCCCTGTGCCTGGCCACATGAGGCACATGGTAGATATATTTGGACGTTTCTATTCAGCTTTTCCCCCTTTTGTTCAGAGCTGTCTCCCCACTCATGAGGATAGACCTTTGCAGCCACAAGCTGCACCCCCAGCCATAGTGGACTGGGCCATTAATTCAGCATACTTATTGGCACTGGACCACCGTCAAGCTGCCATATTGCTCATAAAATACAACGTAAATGGTGCGCCCTAGAATTGTGCTTCAGAGAGGCTCTGACCACCGTGTTAGGCACTGAGAACAAAACAATGAGCGCAAGCAATGGTCCTAGAGTCTAGTGGTGAATACAGTCCTCAATCAAATATTAAATAATAGCTGAGGTACATGTGCTAAAGGAGTAGCAGTATATGGTCTTATGTAAAATATGATTGGGGCATTAGGAATGGATTACTGGCCTAAACTCAACTAATCAGATTTTCTTGCCTAGGAATCAAAAATAATAATAGCTAAAACTTATATTGTGCTCACCTTGAAAAATGATTTTACATAGTTTAATGGATTTAATTCTTTCTACAACCCTATTGAGGTATATAACATTATAAACAGTTGAGAGATGAGGAAATCAAGGCACAGAGAGGTTAAGTTTCTTGGTCTAGGTCACACAGCTAGTTAGGCTACCCAGGTAGCCTAGTTCCGGAAACTGAGCCCACTATCACTGGGCCTGGAAAGGTGGAGCAGCCATCTCCTGCCATCTGGTGGGGGAAGCACAGAAAGCCAGTTTTCATGCAGAGAGAGAAGAAGGAAGTGAGAAGTACAGAGAGAAGCAAAACCAAGTTCCCTTTCTAATGAAGCTGTGATTATCTCCTGATATATCCTGAGACACCTTTCCTAGGATCCTCTGAATATGACATAACTTCTGAATTCACCGATAGGTATATGATCACGTTTCATCCATCCATCCCTCCTTCCCTCCGTCCACTTATAAAGGTTATATGTTGTATCAGTTAGGATACGTTTTACTGCAAAGTTCAGAAAACCCCACCTTCAGTGGTTTAAGTAGAACTTCCCAACTGGTTTGCCACCACTACTTGTGTGCCATAAATGGGTTACTGATATGGCCAAGTTATTGATCCCCTCAGCCTCTGGGACAGCTGGGCAGGGCCTGAGGCGGCCAAAGTCTCTGGGCCAGTCACCTCTGGCTGCAAGCAGCCTGTCCGTTTAGGTCAGTGTGCCGTATAAATATGTGTGCCGTGACTGGTCAAGGTAGGGCAGCACTGACTTAAGGAATGGACTTTTAATTTTCTCATGAAATAAGAAGTTTGGGGGGTAGGCTTTTACAGGTTTGAGTACAGTAGTTCAGCAAGGTCATCCAGCGTCTTCCTTCTTTCTATTCTGCCATTTCCAGGACAGGCTTTTAGTCTTAAGGCCTGTTACCTCAAGGCTGCAAGATGGCTTTCCTAACTCCAAGTACCATGTTCTCACACAACTGTGTTCAGAGCAGGAAAGGGTGAGGGCGGGGGGTCAGGGGGCTCTTCTGATACCCTGACATCTTTTATTAGGAAGCAAACCCTTTCCTAGAAGTTCCCCAGCAGGATTCCCCCTATCTTCTTACTGACAAGACGTGAAGGAGTCTCAGAGT